AACATGTAGAATGTTGCCCAGCTACGACAAAGTAAGTAGGGACGTAGGCAGGCAGGCAGGTAGGCCGGCAGGTAGGCACATACATATGTACATACCTACCTACTTACGTACATTCTGCTACACGACCAATGCCGCAGCGCATGAATGCGGCGTTTTTTGTCGATGTTGTCGATACTGCATGGGTGGTTGTCAAAATTAGGGTCCCTTCTTTAGGTACCCTAAATATTAGGTGCCGTATTATAGCAAGGACCCAAAAAGGGACCCTAATTTGGACAACCACCCGTATGAAGGCCGCCATCCCTAAACCCAAGCATGGCAAACTCGGTAAAAAGGCCTGCACCAGTCTCGAAATCTTTCGCTTGTCAGACATTCTTAGAACCTCGGATTCACGAGCTGCTCTCGGGACATGCTTAGGGCCTATAGTATATTATAGTAATCGTATATTATAGTAATAGTATATTATAGTAAAAGTATAAGATAGTAATAGTAGACTTTAGTAATAGTAGATTATAGTAAAAGTATAATATAGTAATAGTACATTATAGTAGTAGTAGATTATAGTAATAGTACATTATAGTAATAGTCGAATTTAGTAATAGTATATTATAGTAATAGTATATTCAAGACTGTTGCAGAATGTTCCAGTATGTTACAGTAAGCTCTGGTATATAACTTGCTGGTTGTATCGGGTTTCTTTGGAGTGCTTGTGACCAGGGAGAGCAAGTTTGCAAAACAAAGCTGAACGAACCCTGTGGCCAAGAGATGATGGAAGTCGACAACAGTACAAATGACCGCCACGGTTTAGGGTTTAGGGTATAACCTGCTGCCAAAGAGCGTGAAGCTGAGTGCCACGGCCGCGGCCGGAAAAGCCAAATGGCAGCATGGGGCGCAAAGTTTCGAATCGGTGCACCGCCTCCACGCGAATTCACTCTGAAATGACCGTCCTCTGATCACAGCAGTCTCGGTCACGCCTGTACGGACGGCCAAGCGCAGCGTTGCTATAACGCTCGTCAGTCGCATGATGCATGGAGTTTCACAAACACATAATAACCCTTGCAATAGAAGGGTCTGTAGTATGAGAAGGCTCGAAGCAAACTGCATGCTCTGGTGAACAAGAAAGACCACACATATACCACGCCCGAGCCACCATGTAAAGCTGAGTGAGTTCATACAGCCCTATGCTGTGATTCCTGCATGTACCCAATGTAGCAACCATAAACCCTAAACACTAAACCCTAAACCCTAAACCCTAAACACTAAACCCTAAACCCTAATCCCTAAACCCTAAACCCTAAACACTAAACCCTAAACTATTTGCAAATGACTCTCAAGCCTTCAGCCCTGAGCGCTAAACCCTGGCACCCTCAACTCCTTCTATAAATGAATCCCAAACCCTAAACCCTATACACCCTAATCCCAAAGCCTAAACCCGGAATCCCGAAACCTGAGACCCTAAACCCTGAACCCTAAACGCTATAATGGAACCCCGAAACCTTAGACCCTGAACCCTGAGCGCGGAAGGCGGAGATCAGTTTTGGATTCCAGCAGGCGAGTGCGAGACCGGCTAGGCCTTCGACACAAAGACAGGGGATCCGAACACACCATACATATGTATGTGTGTGTATATACATAATCTATCATTATATATGCATGTATATATCTATATGTATATATATATATATATGTATCTGTCTCTATAAATGCTCTACATCTATATGTATCTGTAGCTATCTTTATCTACAACGGAAACAGGCCTTTGGCGGCGTCATGGGTACAGCTCAAGGCCTCGGCTCAAGGATCGTCGGGCTCTGCAAATCCATGCGACCTGCCGGTTTAGTGCTTCAGGGCTTAGGGTTTAGGATATAGAGTTCTAGGGTTTAGGGCTTAGGGTTTAGGGGTTATAGAGTTCTAGGGTTTAGGGCTTAGGGGGTTAGGGGTTATAGGGGTACAGGGTTTAGGGCTTAGGGTTTAGGGGTTATAGAGTTCTAGGGTTTAGGGCTTAGGGGGCTAGGGGTTATAGGGTTACAGGGTTACAGGGCTTAGGGTTTAGGGGGTTAGGGGTTATAGGGTTATAGAGTTATAGGGTTTAGGGCTTATGGTTTACATAGATGGCTAGGGGTTTTTAGTTTTGGGTTGGGGGTTGAGAGGCCCCCGGGAAATCCTCCTTGGCGACTTTCTCTTCGGGCTGGGACTGGCGAGCCTCGGGCTTCTGAATGAGTCCTTGCCTGAGCTTACCCAGAGACTTCAACATCCCCTTTATTAAGGAGTATACCCTAAATTATAGTAGGACCCCTAATATGATTTAAGGTATATTTAGTGGATAACAGGTATGAGCTTATCTAACCAGCGGTTCCTTGGCTCTTTAGCTCCTTAATTACTAGGGATTACTACTGTTGATGATATACATCCTGCATTACCCATAATAGGGAATATGACACACTTCCCATAGTTTAGGGTCCTTAAGGTAATGCAGGATATATATATATATATATATATCATCATCATCATCATCATCACCGGTATCATACCTGGCTCATGAGCTCCTCCTATGTCAGTGGTTAGCTATGCTGTGATGATGAGCACTGATCCCAAGATCCCAGGCAGCACCCCTTGAGCCACACAAGTCTAGCCTCGAAATCCATGAACGACCATCCACTGTGAACTCAGGGTTTAGGGCTCGGGTTTAGCTGTTTTTGGGGTTTAGGGTTTAGGGTTCGGGTTTAGCTGTTTTAGGGGTTTAGGGTTCAGGACACATTCGTTCACCAAGGTTCAATATGTGTCCGGGACTGCAAAGATGTCCATGCATGTCACAAATGGGCTTCTGCCTGATACCTGCCAGCTGAAATACACTATGTTCCTTTGATATGTCTGGAAAACACGCACGGCCCCTCTGCCCATCCTTTCTACCAGGATGGCATCCGAAACACGAATAGTTGGGATTCTTGATGGGGCTCCGAACTGACAGTTCTCATTCGAGACGAATAAAACACCAGATCCCAGCATCGATGTCTCACACATCTATGAACCTGAAGTTTATTCCGACGCAGGACAGACCAGCGCAGCAGCTATGAGCCCTCAGTGCCAAACGTAGCCTTTTCCGCCTAGCATGCCATCCGCGCAAGCACGAAATCACCCACGCTGCTTCCTCCTATATCTCGCAGACAACGGCTTTCAGGTTTCAGGTGCAGGCGATTTCGGATCTCCACCTGCACAGGCGTTTCTGAATGAGTTGTTCATCTGCTCTGTATGCCTGCAACTTGGACCTATGCCTGCGAATTCTGAGGAAACGGCCTGATCTGTGCTATGTCAGAAGACATTGATGTTGCCTTACCCCCTTGTCGATCATGGCAGACTACCCCAGCACATAATTTAGTGCCCCGCTATCTGGGAAGTATGTGAAGCCTGAGGAGAGGGTGTTCTAAAGGGGGCAAAAGGAGGCTGTTACAAGGAGAAGCCCTGGAATATATAGCAATGTTTTGAGACGTTGTGCCATGTCGAATTTCGTTGCATTCGCTTAATTCCGATTTAGTCCGCTTTGCCACTGGTCTACGTTACGCGACAAAACGCCATACTTCCGCCTCATACGGTGCAACCTATCAACCAGGCTACATCCTGTATGCTGTAGTTCGTGCGAGCGAGTGATGTTTCGAACCCAACCATGAGCATGCACCTGGGTGGTTGTCATTATTGGGGTCCCTCTTTGGGTCCTTATTACAATACGGCACCTATTGAATCATTTAGGATACCAAGAAGGGACCTTAATTTTGACAACCACCCACCTGTCTATTTGTTGCTTCGGCCGTGCTCAGCTGACCTTCGAACTCAACCCTAGGCCTCACATCCGCAAGCATGCAGGCCAGGCCAAATGCCGTCCGTCTGGGATTTGTTCTAGACCTGGCCAACAGTGCTTCGCCTACGTAGAGGTCTGAATGAATGGCTATCAGATCACTCCAAAAACCTCCATATTATGATGAAACGATGCTATACTTCAATCAAGCACCTTTTACCCTATTCCAATTGCTAAGGCCCCCTACAGTTACATAAATATGTAGTATATAATACATGTATATATGTATATACACATTATGTATACAAACCCACCATTCCCATCCCATGAAGCTGGTCGTCGTCCCGGAGAAGCTTGATAATGAAAGCCTAGAAATACACTAAACCCTAAACCCTAAACGCTAGAAATACCTTCGGCGTGAACGCTCCTGCTCTCCAACTGAAAGCCGTCAGGACGGGGCAAAGCAAAAGTAACCCCAAGCCGCGGTTTAGGGTTTAGGGGTTTAGGGGTTTGGGGGTTTAGGGTTTAGGGTTTATGGTTTGGGGCTTCTGTCAAGTCCCGATCGGCCAAGATCAACCCAGCGACGGCTTTCGGAAGCTCCTTCCACGCAAAGGGACACCGCTGGATCGTCTTCGAGCCTGGATCCGGGGCATGGGTTTAGGGTTTGGGGTTTAAGGGAGCAGGGGCAAGGGTTTAGGGTTCAGGTTTAGGGTTTAGGAGTTAGGGCATTAAGGTTTAGAGGTTTAGGGGAAACGGTTTAGGACCGAGAGTTTGGGGGGGTAGGGTTTAAGGCCAAGGGTTTCAAGTTTAGGGTTCAAAGGGTGAGGAGTCTTGGGTTGGCTTTGGGGGCGGAGGATGCAGTAGGAGTAGAGTTTGGAAGCTGCCCCCACCCTGTGGAGTAGGAGGGAGTACTCGGAGAAGTTGGAAGTGGGATAGCAAGAGAACCAGGGAGCACTAGCACCCAGCAGTAGTAGTCTTAGTAGTCGTAGTAGCAGTAGTAGTAGTAGTAGTAGTAGTAGCAGTAGTAGAAGGAGTAGTAGTAGTAGTAGTAGTAGTAGTAGTAGTAGTAGTAGTAGTAACAGTAGCAGTAGCAGCAGCGATAGCAGCAACAGAGGTAACTAGCAAGAACAGTAGCATCCTCAGCCGTGAAGCCAGCTTAACTTCCGATTCGATGCTGGCCTCTACTCCGCATTCGCAGGGCTTCTGCTTGAGCTCAGCCATGGCATTGCTGAGTGAGATTGCTCGACGTCAGCGCGCCCACGCCGGCCAGCAGATTCTCAGAAAAGGTGTGCTTGAAACTTCGGCGTCTACATGCAGTTTGGGTTAAGGTCTTTATCGGAGAAGGAGCTTCCCAAGCCAGAAGGGGCTCTGAAACTTCAAGATACAAGCTTGCACTGGTTTCGGATTTTGGAATAGCTGTGCACAGTGCATCGTCACCTTACGGGAACAAGGCACAACAGTGTTGCTCAAGAAAGGCCTAGCAACAATGATTTGGAAGTCCGGCTGCATGAGTTTCTGCACATTCTGCACCGCAAGCTCGGACATGTACATCGCGGTCTTCGACGCTGACATAGTGTCTTCAGCCTTCAACTCCGGCATGCATGCCGCAATGCCATCAGGGATGCCGACTGCACGCAAGAGCTTCGCAACATCCTGCTTCATGCTGCAGGTAAGGCCCACGTAGAGTACTCGATCGAGAAGCTTCTCGAAGTCTGGGAGGTAAAATGCAAAACCTTTGTGGAGGTGTTCCAAAGTCTCGTGTGCCTGCTTTGCTAGCCGCCGTCGTTCCTGATCCTCAGCAGACAAAGCTTCTGCAAGGTCGTTCGCTGTCGGGAAGGTGTCAAAAACCCATGGAAACTTCCTCTTGCCAGCTGCCATGAAGAAGCCGCTCCTCCAACGATCTACGACATCTCGAACATATAAGACGAAGCAGGTGTCTGCGGGCAGCAGCTCCAAGTAGTATGGTGCCAGGCGCGTGTGCGTGAATGGATGCGGTCGATTCTCTGGGTTGGTGAACAAACAGGTGAGGTTGCTCTGTGCTGCCCAAAGGCTGAAGGCCGTCCCTCCCGTGCTGCCCACATGGACAAACTGAAAATGCTGACATCTCTTCTTGCTCCAGCTCTGCACGGGTCTCAAAAACTTTCTGATGCCTTCACAGCCAAACTGCATCCCGGGGCAAATGTATCTTATCAGCTCTGTTTGCGCATGTTGTCTGGTCTTCAGGGCTGTTGAATCCTCCACGTGTGGCACGGAAACAACTGCGTCAGTTGCTGCCGGCCGGCGTAACGCAGCATCTGGTTGCCCCGACATATAGAGTAGATAAGGTACCAAGAACAGCACGCCAGTCACCACCATCCGCACCCGCCCGAAGGTGAGCATGCTTCGAGCTTGGACGGCCTAGGATACCATACCCTAAACCCTACTTACAGACGTATGGCGTACATGCATCATCTACCCTGAACCCTCTACCCTTTCCCCTCGGTTCACCCCAAGCTGAGCCAAGAAACTAAGGGTTTCGGGCATACTGTTGATGATATCAATCCTGCAATAGCCATTTTTAAGGAATATACCATAACTCCCATAGTTTAGGGTCATTAAGGTAATGCAGGATTTACATCACCAACCCTAAACCCTAAACCCCCTATAGATCCCTTAAAAGAAGCCCTTAAAGGTACCCCTATAGATCCCTATAAAGGTACGCTAGGGATGTATGTATATATATATATATACATATATATATATATATATATATCATCATCATCAACCGTAGAAGCCACTTCGGCATGAGATTTTCGACTCCAGGGGTGGGACCTGGGGGATGAGACTAGGGTTTAGAGTCCCTTTCGGGCTTGGGCTTTTGGGATTCAAGTTCAGGGTTTAGGGTTTAGGGTTTAAGGTTCAGGGTTTTTTTTTATTTTCATTTTTTATGGGCTCTTTTCCGCCTGCAGATACAGTTGCTAGGAGGAGCCTGTGGTTGGGGCCTCATAGTTTCGTACAACACTCGAATAATAACCCCGAACACACCCAGCTGAGGCCCCAACCGGTGGCAAGCCCTCTCGGCTCACTCTGCGATTGCATTTCAGAAGGCTTTCGGCTTTGGCTCGACACAATGGATCTGACAAAGTTTGTAAAGCTGAGACAATCGTTTTGAACAAAGCTGTATCAGTCGAGGTCAGCCTTTGCCTGCTTTCCGTGACTATGATCCACAGCGAGACAAGTGCATATACCATCGTTATCGTTTGCAAAACAAGAGTCATGCCTAGTCATCGGAGTCACAGGACCTGTCACTACCGCCTCGGTTATCTGGGTCTGGGTACCCGTGTTTCTCCGCCCATCGACGACCGTTATAATATGTATCAGGGTTTGATCCCTCGTCGTCCACACCCTCATGTGCTACTTCACTCTGCTCAGTAGCTGCTGCACTCGATATAGTCACCGGGAGGTTGTGGTCATCGTGCTCCATGACTGTTGCCGGGCAGGAGGGAGGTGGATTTTCGTTCGGAATCGGCCTGTTCGTTGCCAAAGAAGAGCCTTGGTCGTGGTGTCCAGGTTCGGATGGACCCCCGGGCTCATGGCCATGATTGTCCTCGTTCCCCATCGTCATCGTGTCCTGCTCTTCCAGGGCTTTCCACACTTCTGCTGGTATGTCCTTCAGGGCCATGAAGTATGCGAGCATCCCGGTGTCGGCGATTGACACTACCGTTTGATCCGAAACTTCTCTATTGCACCATCGCCTGTATAGTGCCGCCGTCGCTGGTTTCTTCACATCGTAGCCTTTTGGGTCCACTGGAGTAGCTGTACTTCTTGGCGGCATGCTTCGGAGGCAGTCTGGGAGGTCGGAGTTCGGGATGATTCGTCCATGTCGCCTCCATATGCCAGGGTCCTCGGTCTTCGTGGCCTTGATGTGGACCTGCACTTCTGCTCCTCGGTCTAGTTCCCAATCCCAGGCTTTGGTGGTTCTGCCATCCGTCACGCATATGCCCAAACACAACCGTTTTTTCGGAGGCTCCCAAGTGAGTCGGCGCCACCATGTCTCCACCCAGTAGCTTTCGATGATAGCCTCCTCGTCTGTGGGTGCCGGTGGGGTGTCCGTTGAAAAGCCGATCCAAAGAGCCTCGAGCTCCTTCCTTTCCACAGCTAGTTCTCCATCATGATCTTGCAGCCTTGATGCCAGTTGTATGGCTCTGCTCGATGCGGTACGGCTGTCCATTTGGTTGAATGATGCCTGGAGCTTGCTCAACATCGTCATCACCGGTGGGTCGCGCAGTTTGGCAAAGTCGAGGACGGTTTGCATGTAGACGCTTTCCACGGCTTCCTTTTCGGCTTGCTTGTCCTCGTCCTCTCCGTTGTGTTGGTGGGAGCCGGCCGCTCCACTTAGCTGTTGGCGAAGAATTCGTGCTCTCTCCAGCGTCCTCGCCAGGTCCTGCTGGAGCCTTCCCATAAATGCCGGGAACGTCTCGGTCATCATGTGGTGATCGGCGATGGGCTTGTCGACAATGTTGTCTGCCACATGTTGTGGCAAGACTGGTGTGTCTTCCTCGACGATCCCTTCATTAGGGTTCATCTCAAACAAGGCTTGCCACGTTGAGATCGCCTCGTTATATGGCCCCAAGCTTGTATTTGTAGTCGCTGCACTGGGCATACTTTCCCGGGGTGGAGTAGTCGGTTCTGCAATGTCATCGCACTTGGGCCTTGGCCTTGGCTTTGCTCTGGGTGGGGCTTTCGGCGGCGATCTGCTTGGTTCGCGCGGCTTCGGCTTCAACGGCGGGTTGTTATGCTTCTTCCACGGTGGGGTGAGCTTCCGTACTTCTGAGCTCTTTCGGTCTGGTGGTAGTTCCTTCCAAAGTCTCGTAGGACTTTTCCGGCTTGCTGGGACCGATGAGCTCCCTTTGTCCATCCAAGACGTGGTGTCGTCGTTGTCCTCGGTCGTTCGTCCCGGGCTTGGTCTCACAGACAAGGTTCAGGGTTTAGGGTTTAGGGTTTAGGTTTTGGTTTCTGTATCCTTGCTAGGCCGGTTTGTCGAACTCACATGATCCATCTTTGGAGTCTCTTGTGATGTTGCATGTCCGACCTTGTTGCTTTTCCTGTGTTCCCATGTAAGTACACTTAGCACTGTGATAGTACCGCATCGGCATCGGTTGGATCATTGCATGTCTCGAGCTTTTCTTCACCAGCTGCTTTGAGCAACGACGTTTGGCTTCCGTTCCCCAAACCGCTTCTGCTCTGGTGTCCAGGATTGCGGATGATTCTTCCCTCAAGTCTGAAGCCTAAGCTTTACACCGTTTAGTAAGAGATTCCTAAACCCCCAAGCTTTACTATTGCTGACATGAACATTACTACTATTATTTTCACGACCACCACTACTACTACTACTACTACTACTACTACTACTACTACTACTACTACTACTCCTGCGACTACTACTACTACTACTACTACTACTACTACTACTACTACTACTCCTGCGACTACTACTACTACTACTACTACTACCACCACTACTACTACTACTACTACTACTACTACTACTACTACCACTACTACTGCGACGAATACTTCTATTGTTGCTACTATTACCATTACACTTAAAATTCATGGAGCCTTACAGGCCTTGCACCTCCGAGCTCCCCGGGTGAGTTCAGGTCAGCCACCACGCAAAACCTCCGAACTGGTCGGCGTGCCTAAATGGGAGTTTCCGAAAATTAGGGGTATATTATTTGGGGATCCTTATAATGAGGATCTTACTATTTAGGGTACTATATTAGGGTCCCCTATTTTCGGAAACTCCCAAATGGCCCTGGATGGACAAGGGGTCCCGAAGCGGGCTCCAAGGGGGCTTGGGATGGTCTAGCTCGAGCTTTGCGACCAAGTTTTTCAAGCTTTCAATGACTTTGGGTTCAGGGTTTGCTCTTGGAGCACCCTTGCGCTCACAAGACACGGCAATATGGAAACCCCAACCCTCCATCGCTGATAAAGCCTTACCGCTGGACGCAACAAAAAGCACGATCACCAATTTCGGGTGGCAGGATCCGTCCGCCTTCTAAATTTAGGGTGAAGGTCCAGGGTTTGAGGCTTGGGAATTAAGATGTAGGGCACTTCAATCGCCAACAGTAGAATGCCTTTCGCCGAATCCGGGGCAACAGCCGCACGCAGTCAGCTGCTCAACTTGCTGGATTTTGCTCTGCCTCTGTCGGATCTCAGATGTACATAAGTGAGGGTCTAGGGTTGAGGGGCTAACTCCATCAGAGAATCTGCTTCGAACATGCCGCACATGTGTCATGAAGCCCATGCGGCACTTCCCCTTGCTTGATGTGGCTTGAGAAACCTGGCGGAATCGGCGCAAGAAGAGTGAAGATCCATCAACCCGGTCCGTGATGTAGCATAAATATACTACGGTATACTAATTATATAATACTATGCCATAATATATCCCTAATATTCCAGAGTATACTGGGCCCACTAGGCTTCTATACATATACTACGGTATACTAATAATATACCATGATATACCCATAATATTCTGTAGTATACTAGGCTTCCGGCTAGTAACCCTGTAACTGAGATGCGGCGGGAGTACGGCAGGCGGTTGAGATGCAAATGTTTTTATCGTGCCCAAGATCGAGATGCAAAAGGCTGCGCCGCAACACTGCAACACAACTGTTTCTGCTGGACAAGACCATTCGTCTTGACATTTTGCCTCTGCCTAGTGTTGGCTACTCGACGCGCTGAGGGAAACCAGTAAGCAGTGACTGCGCTGGAGTAGATTGACAAATGTCGAATGCACTGTTCACGGGCTTTTGTGATGGAAAAAGTGCACTCCTAGCGCTTGCCGTTTTGTATGCACGCATGCCTGCGGACAGACAGACAGACAGACAGACAGACAAAAAGACGGATATGTACACAAATTGAAAGCGTGGGGGGTCTGACGGGGCGGGGCAGCCCCCCCAATTTTCCAGAACGAACTTTGCTTTCTGATCTTCTACTACACAATAGATACACATATAGACGGATATGTACACAAATTGAAAGCGCGGGGGGTCTGACGGGGCGGGGCAGCCCCCCCAATTTTCCAGAACGAACTTTCCTTTCTGATCTTGTACTACAAAATAGATACACATACACATATATGCAGAAACACATCATGAGAACACATCATGCTCAGAAAGCACCCGGTACTCGCAAATAAATTTCCAAGAACGTAAGTGCACAATCCAGGCGGCGGCATAGAACAATCCGAAAGCCAAACATTGCGTATCTGAATTGAGAGGATAGCCTACCCATACCACTGAGTCGAGTCGCCCAAAGTTCCTGTGCAGGTATGTAGGTAGGTAGGTTGGTGGGTCGGTAGGCAAGTAAGCAGACAGGCATGTAGGTATGTA